AGATATATTTTTATATTAAATTTTATTCTTTTAAAGTTTCGAAAAGATTGGCCTTCTTTTTCATCTACGTTGCATAATATTAATTAAATTTAAATTAGTAACCGGATGAATGTCAATTAAAACACGTTGCTTGTGGCGCTAAAGTAATTTCCACACTCCTTCAATACCTCAGAACACCCTGTAAAACATGCAGGCGACAACAATTTCCCAAAATTTAAGTTTTTTTAGTATTTTTATTTAATTTGCGTGCTATAAGTGTTAGTTCAGTGTCGTAAAAGTAAAAAATATTAAAAACACTTGCCTTGTGGACCACCCTATACTGTTCTTCACTTCCCTTAAAATTTTGTGTGTTGTCTTTTTTTCTCACCTCGACCTTGTTTATTATATTTTTCTGCAAAAAAAAAAAAAAAAGAACAAAAAGAAAACAACATGCACACGTGCCGACGCATAAATATTAAATAATAAAAATATAATATGTTTAGTTGAATTCGTCTGCGAGTTCATGGTGGGTTGTGCGCGTGTCCCCCTTCGTTTGTGGTATCTATTATTGCTGACATGAAATCAATTCGATGTAAATTGAATAATAGCGAGGACGCTCTGATAAAGATGATACAATTTTCAAAATGATTACTAACTCAAAATATGTTTGTCTACACAACTGCACACATGCACATGCACATACAATATTATTGCTTTGTTTATGAAAAGCTTCGTCCGCAGCTGTTGATTGACAAGGGTCCAAAAGTAATTAAGCCGTTTGTAGCGCCACCTATTCCCATTTACCGTCTCATGTTGTCACTAAAGTGCACTATTCATTAATTGCTCATTAAATAGTCAAAATTACGGTGCTAGAAGATTTTCACACTTGATAGCTGCAACCGACACAGCTATATACAGCTATGGACAGAGATTTAGCGCACTTTCTTAATGTGAAATATGATGCTTAATAATGTTATATTTAAAGAAAGTAGAATCGTTATAATGTAAAAAAAAAAAAAATATTTATTACCTCACTAAAAACTAAAGTAGGCCAAAAATTCTTAGTTTTCTATAATAAAAAGTACAATATTTTGTTCAATTTACATTATTAAGTCAAAATTGGCTTGGACAAGTATTTAGCGCACTTTAAAAGATCAGCAAAGAAAAATTAATATTATTAACATGTGACGTGAAATTTTTCTGTTATTATATCGAACTTGGTTAATACTTAGTGGAATGACCGTTATTCGTTATCACCGCTTCACATCTGCGTGGCAAGCTCTCTATTAACCTTTGGCATCTGCTCTAAGGAATAGCGTTCCACGCTTCCTGTACTCCTGCAAAAGCTCGTTGCAATTTTTAAATTTTCTTTGCCTAACTTTTTCTTTGACATCATTCCACAAGTTCTCGATCGGGTTTAGATCAGGACTTTGCGCTGGCCAATCGAGAAGTGGAATTTTTTCTTGCACAAGCCAATTTTTTTACCACATTTACTGTATGCTTGGGAGCGTTGTCGTGCATAAAGATCCAATTTACAGGCATAATATCATAGAAATATGGCTCCATTGTATTCCTCAGTATATTAAGATATGCAAATTTATCCATATTCCCTTCTATCTTTACTAGGGGTCCAACTCTACGCTATGAAAACGACCCCCATACTTTTAAATTTCCTCCCCCATGCTTTACGGTCTTTTTGATGTACATACCTTGGATTGACTTCTTGGTTTTTTTCACGATGTATTTACCATCAGGACCAATCCGGTTTATTTTAGTTTCGTCCGTAAAAAGTATCCTTTTCCAAAAATTTAAATCTTTTAATCTATGCTATGAGCGAATGACAAACGCGGTTTAATATTTTTTTTCGACCATAGCGGTTTTTTTCTGCTCACACGTCCATACAAATTATTTTCATTTAAACGTCTTCGTATTAGTCTACTTGACACGTTTAAGTCCAATTCTGCATTGACTTCGACCATAAACGCGCGTGAGGATTTGAAAGGATCAGTTTCACATTTTCTAAAAATTATTTTATCCTCGCGGGGGGTTGTTTTGCGAGGGGGAGCCTTACGAACTTTGTTTTGCTTTAACAAATTTGGATCACTTTTAACGGTATCTGAGGGGAAATGCTAAATGTTATTTTCCACGCATTTAAAGAGGCGACAGAAGCAGTATTGATGATCTGCTAATAACAAATTCATGAAAATATCGCTCTCAAAAGTACCGGTAATATTTCTAATTATGAATGCAAGTGCGCTAAATCTCTGTCCATAGCTGTATGTGTGTATGTATGTATGCTTGTGTGCATGTGTGTATTTGGTATATTTTTATTTTATTTTTGATGCTTGTTTGTTTTATCTTTGTTACGTACGCACGTACATACATATGTATGCATGTCTATGTACTAATGTAAATACCAATAACTTTTACTTGAGTGCCCTATTGAACTTTATTTGGTGTTTTTGCCTCTCCACTGCCACTTTTTTTATCCTCTTGATTGATTTTTGAGCACTTCTTGACTATTTTTCACAGTATCATAATTCACACGTGTCTGGGCATGTAGTTAGAAGAGGTAGCAGCAGAAGTACAAAAACAATGAAAACAACCTTTTATTTGCTTTTCAGAGTGCAAAAATAAAAATTTACCGTTGGAATTTTTTTTATAATAATGTACTATAGTTTTAAAATATTGCAAGCAAGAAATGTGAAATTAAAAAAAAAATATTAAANATAAAAATTTACCGTTGGAATTTTTTTTATAATAATGTACTATAGTTTTAAAATATTGCAAGCAAGAAATGTGAAATTAAAAAAAAAATATTAAAATAAAAAACAATATTTTATATTTTGTTTTTATTTTGCAGCTATTCTAGTCACTATATTCCATCTGTCTCTTATACACATCTAGATGTGTATAAGAGACAGATTTTTTCGAAATATTTAATTTTTTAAATTATTATTGTTTTGAGTAATTTTTTTTTCGTAATTTTGAGTTCAAATTAACTTTTTTATATGAAACAATTTGTGCTAAAAGTTAAATTTAATTTGTTTCGTAATACTTAACTTCAAATATATTTTCATAAATTTTTTTCATATAGGAAGGTGTAAAGTTTTTTAAAGTTTATTTTTTTTAATAATATGAATAAATTGGAATTTTTGAATATATCTTTGTACTTTTTTCATATGAGTTTTTATAACAAAAAATTAATTATACTTTTTCGAATTAACTAATTTCTTAAATAAATACAATTTTAACAATTTTTTTTCATATAAAAAATGCTAACAATAAGTATGTTTTTGCGTTATCTTTAATTTTAAAACACATTTTATATACTTTTTTCATAAGAACATTTTTTATTATATATTTTTTCAGAATATCTAATTTTATGAATACATTTTTTTTTAACAATACAAAAAATGTTTAGTAAGAATTACAATTCTTTTCAATAATATTTTGCATAATATTTAATTTAATTTATACATCTGTTTTCGAAAAACATAAACTTTAACATTTTTCATTAAAAGGTTTCATGAAGATCATTTTTTTCTTATTATTTAAACTTATAATAGTTTTTTTTAATATATGATAATATAAAATTAAAGTTTGATCAAATTATTGTGTTTTTCGATATATTGAAATTTTTAAATACAATGTTTTTCATATAATCTATAAAAGTTTTAGTAAAAATTATAATATTTTTAAAATAACTTTTTGCTCAATATTTAATTTTAACTGTTTTGAATACTTATTTCATAAAAAAAAATTGCACTGACAGATGTACATAATTTTAAAATACATTTTTTGTTTAATTTTTTCTATATAAAAAAGGCTTATAGAAGATATTTTTTCATATTATTTAAATTTTTAATATTTTTTTAAA